GAATTAGTACCCCCCTCCCCCACCCAAAATGTCATATCTGGAAAATGGCTTTTTCGACATAAATTTGGCCCCACAGGGGATCTGTCTAGGTACAAAGCTCGTTGGGTTGTCCGAGGGTTCAACCAGCGTTTTGGCATCGACTACAGCGAAACGTTCAGCCCGGTCATCAAACCGGCCACCATCCGTATTGTCCTCAGTCTTGCCCTCTCTAAGGGCTGGCCCATACACCAGCTGGATGTCAAGAATGCTTTCCTTCATGGCCACCTACAGGAAACTGTTTATGCCCGGCAGCCTTCTGGTTTCGAGGATACCTCTCGCCCTTATCACGTTTGCAAACTGAAGAAGGCTTTGTATGGTTTAAAGCAGGCTCCTCGCTCCTGGTATCTTCGCTTTGCTGGTTTCCTTCGGCACATTGGGTTTCAGAGTTGCAAAACAGACACATCCTTATTTGTCTACACACACGGGTCACACAAGGCGTACTTACTCTTATATGTGGATGACATAGTTCTTACGGCTTCGAGCACTGTGCTTTTATCTCAAATTACAGCACGTCTGAAGGGTGAGTTTGCCATGACTGACATGGGGGAGCTTAATTTTTTCCTTGGCATCAGCGTTCAGCGTACCAAAGAAGGAAACCTTTTCTTGCATCAGACGCAGTTTGCTCATGACATTCTCGACAGGGCAGGTATGCTACATTGTAAGCCCATCTCCACGCCTGTTGACTCTAAAGGGAAATTATCAGCCACCTCCGGGGAACTCGTAGTCGATGCTACACTTTATCGCTCTCTTGTTGGTGCCCTTCAGTATCTTACATTCACACGGCCCGATCTCACATATGCAGTTCAGCAGCTTTGTCTCTATCTTCACTCTCCACGGACGACCCATCTTACAGCCTTAAAAAGGGTCCTCCGCTATCTTCAGGGTACAGTCACTCATGGGATCACTCTCTCTCGTTCCTCCACGGATTTTCTTCAGGCTTACTCTGATGCCCTGACACGCGACGGTCCACCTCTGGTTATTGTGTATTCTTAGGGGACAACTTGGTCTCATGGTCTTCCAAGCGGCAAGCCACCACCTCTAGATCTAGTGCTGAGGCAGAATACAGAGCTGTAGCTAATGCCGTTGCTGAAACCAGTTGGATTCGAAATCTTCTTCTTGAACTTCATCAGCCACTACGACGAGCCACCATTGTGTTCTGCGACAATATTAGTGTTGTCTATTTGTCCTCAAATCCGGTACAGCATCAACGTACCAAGCATGTTGAAGTCGATATTCATTTTGTTAGAGACAAAGTTGCACTAGGACAGGTTCGAGTTCTTCATGTACCATCCTCTTCCCAGTTCGCAGACATCTTCACAAAAGGATTACCGTCGCTTCTCTTCACTGATTTCCGACACAACCTTGGCGTCCGAAGATCACCGACAGAGTTGGTAGCATGTTAAATATGTCAAGTTATATTACATATTTAATATTATTATTATTTATGGTAGATTCCATATTGTATAGGATCTCTCATTAATGTCAGCTTCCTTATTCTTAACCCTCCTACATGTATATAAGGGGAGGTGAATATATTGTAAAGGGATCATTGGAATTATATAATTCTTCATAAAAGATCTACAAAACTAGAGGTGACATGACTATATTAATTATTTTATCAAATGGTGATGAAAACGGGCCAACAAAGTGAATAAAGTTTGATCATGTGAATAGTGAACGAGAAGTTTATTTGTGGACGAAGGGAGTATGTAAACTTTGAAGCATAATAAATGAACCAATGTAACTCATTCTAATTATCATTCAATTAGACAAGAAATTGATGTCTCACTATACTTACCTCAAGTTCATGTATGTTATAGGTGTTCGTCAATTCTTGTTTCGTTAATAGATTTAATTAAGAAATATTTGCACTAAATAGCACTAAAACTTTATTAATTCATTTCCCTTAATAGCATTTAAATTGTTTTATTTCCAAAATAGCACTTAATAATGTCCATGATAGCACAGTGATGACAAACATTTACTTGAATAATGACTAATGGATAATGACTAAAAGTGTTACATTGAGAAAAAAAACACATATGATGTTATTTAAGAAAAGTTATTATGTTTTAGTGCTATTTAAGTAAATTCTCCTTTAACTAATGATATTGTAATTTTATAAAGTTTTATTAATTTATTTTTAATTATATTATGTACTCCGTATTTAATAAATACGAAGTACTTGATAATAGAAAAGATTTCTTGTACTCCGTATAATTTTGTATATCAGAGCAATAAAGCCTTAAAAGTTGCAGAGGGCCTTCAAGTACTCACTATACTATCAATAATGATTATTGGGCGAGCTTGAAAACAAGATTACGGGGCTGTTTGGCAACTTCTGAATCGGTAAGTGCTGAACCAGTAAGAGGTCTGAACCATTAAGTGCTGAACCAGTAAGAAGTCTGAACCATTAAGAGCTAGTATATTGCTTAACTATTCAGAGGCAAATGTCTGATCAATTCAGATAAGAGGTCTTAACCATTCAGATTCTGTATAATACTTAATCATTCAGAGGCAAATCTCTTAACCATTCAGACATCTGAACCATTAAGAGGCTGAAACAAACAGTCTGAATCATTAAGTGCTGAACCATTCAGACATCTGAACCATTAAGAGGCTGAAACAAACAGCCCCTACATCTTTAAAATATTAGGATATCACTAAAAGTATTTTTAAATTTACATGATAAGTTCCATTTTTGTATCTACTCTTGGAATGTTCATAGAAAATTAACTCTTTCCAAATATGATAAGTTCCATTTTTGTCGTATATATAACGGAATTTAAAAAAAGATAATTAATCAAATAGGAATTTCAAGATCACAAAATAATTATCTTCCGATCCATTTTTGCATAAGAATTTAAAGAGTGTATGCTTTAGTAATTTTCTAAGAACATTCCAAAATTAGATACACCAATTACTAAAGTAGCTTACTTAAAAAATGATCAAAGTAGTATAAATCAACATATTCTAAATAAATAAATGATATAAAAAATACCACAAATTAAACACAATTTTTTTTGAACAAAAAATAAACATAATCTAAATAAATAAATGATGTAAAAATTTGATATATCAAATCTATATCCTAAGATGAACCCAATTAAATTGTATTCTTATTATAATTAAATACACTTTTCTCACAATTTATGGTAAAAAAGTATCACTATTTGACCCAAAAAATCAATATAGGAAAGATTTTTGAAAAATTTACAATAATACTCCAAAAAATTTCCAATTTTACAAATTACAAGGATACCATGAAACTTAATTAATTACACATTACTCCCACAATTGCTCTATTTTTACAAGAACACTCCACCCACCACCTCACTTATGCAATCATATTTTGAAAAATCTACATTAATTTTTAAACTAATCGCTTGGTATATAAATCACTTTTTTTCACTTTTCATACAAAAAAAATAAATTACTTATTTTTCCTCCAACTCAAATATCAATCTCCTACTTTAAGAGTTTGTTCTTTTACGTGGAAAAAGGTAACTTCCAACTTTTTCAAATTTTCCAACTCCTTACATTTTCTTCCGACATTCAACTTTAGAATTCCAACTGAGAATGACATGCCCTAATTGTGACTTGTGAGAGACGTCTTTGATATTTGAGTTGGAGGAGGAATAAGTAATTTATTTTTTATAAAAACAAAAAATAATAATTTTTCAAATCATCACTTTGTAAATCCATTTAGATACTCCCTTTGTCTCTGAAAATATGGAAGATTTTAATTTTTAAGGGAGTATATTTTGGTGTTGAGTTTCCAAAAATGTCATCGAATGTGATGTGTGAAAGTAGGATTTGATAGGTTAAGAATTAATAGGGGTAAAAGTAACTTTTTAATTGAAATTAGAATTTTTTTTTGGGGCAGTTGATAAAAAAGGAGAAAGATTTTTTCATGAACGGATCGGAAGGAGTATTACACAATTTTATTGTGCAATTAAGTGAGATGGTAGGTGGAGTGTTTTTGTAAAAAAAAAGATAATTTTGTGTGCAATGATGTTATTAATAGATCGATTTTCGGAATATTCTTATTAAATCGTAAATTTGTTGCAATATTATTGTGAATTTTTCGAAGATTTTTAGGAGCAGGAGTACGTACAAAATGGAATGCTCATCAATATGTATATACCTGCATGAGAGGGGAAGACGAGGCCACTTGGAGGAATCGCGGAGGGAAACGGGAAGAAGATTGAGGAAGAAATAATCGCACCAATCCAACTTGGCGCCCTTCTCCACCCCGAGGCGGCTGCCGTAGCCCTCGTACGTGGCGGGGGAGTTGGCGTACTCCTGCTTCTCCTCCGCCGGCAGCCGGAAGAACTCCCGCCACGCCTCCTGCATCTCCGCCATCAACTCCTGGTCAACCCCGTGGTTGACCACCTGAAAGAACCCCCACTCCCGGCACGCCCCCGATATCCTCTCCCGTACTACACCAGAAAAAAAAGACGACTTCTGGCCGGCCACCGCCTCCAAGTCAACGACGGGAATCTCCTCCTCCGCCACCTCGGGCGGCTCGCGGCGACTGCGCCTGACGTAGCGGTCCGGGATGGTGGAAATGCCGCTTTCGGAGAGGCCCTGCACTCGCACAATCGGCTCCGGCCATTCATTCAAACGCCGCCCATTGTCGTCCTCCTCCTTCCCCATCGATCTTTAGCTTAACAACTAACGATCAATCAAGAATTAAGAAGAGATCGGATTGGATTTCTTATTCTCTCTTAATTATGAAATGTAAACCTAAACACATAAATAGAGGTGAGACTTGAGAGTGGTGTCATTATTCGAGTTCATGTACCAATTTACCAAGTAAAGTCAAAATAGGAAGAGTATCTCTTTTTGAGCTTTTTGCGTCATTTACCCGTGAAATCTCCGCGTGATTAAACACTTCTAAGTCTGGCGCAGAGGGTCATTTGATGCAACGTTTTTCAACGTCCATAGATCATTATACATTTATTCCGATGCAATGTTTAAAGCTCATGAAAATTTATTAATTCTACTCGCTCTGGTCCTTTAAACCTTCTCATTTTGACTTTGGACCAAAATAAGGAAAGTGTAATTTTGATTGACTTTCCAATTTTACCCCTGATGTGATGAGTAAAAGTAAGATGCGATAGTTTGGTTATTAGTGAAAAAGTATGATGTGATAGGTAAGGTATTAAAAATTAAGGGTAAAATTGGTCTTTTAATATATAGTGGAAGTGTTTTAGGGAACGAAAGTGAAAATATTTTATGGAACAGAGGGAGTAATTTTTAAATAGTTCGAATCAAGAGCATGTATTTGGGATAGAGGGGGTAGTATTTTTTATGTTAACTTTAAAATACTCACTCTGAATATATGTTCGAGTGGTATTTTTAATTTACTTCAATTTTCGTATAAATTAAATTGAAAATAAATTTCTAAGTAAAGAAACTTTCCTTGGGGGGAGGTGGGAGCGTGTAATTACGTGTGCATGGCGTGGATGCCACCGCGCTAATAAAGTGTGTTAATTGGAGACGACGTACGTACAACGTAAGGATATGAGGAAAATCCGGCCGGCCCCGATAGATAGAAAACCGACGAGCAAATCACGGGAAACCGAAAATTCAATTTCCATTTAATGTTAAATATGTTCTTTTTAATTAAACACATGTCAAATATATACTTGAACATGAACCTTTTGATTTTCTTTTTAATAGATTTGCACGTTTTGATTGTTAATTAAATTTGTTTATTTGGTCGAATCAATTTGGTAACAATAACTAGAAATCCACGATTGTATTGGGTTGATTTCGGACAGGAATAAATGAAAAAGGAAACCTATAATGGCTATTGGCTCTCCTATATCGACTTGTACTAGCTTTTTAATTACCATTTGAAAATCCCGGTAATTTTTGTTTATTTTTATATTTTTATCGATTATTGGATAAAATAAAATGTTATTGTCACCGCTTGTTTTGAAAAACTTTTTACAATGGCGGTGTAAATTTGACTGAGTAAGTTTGACTTGTCTCATCAATCAAACGGACTATACAAAATAAATAAAACTCAAGAAAATAAGAACACATCAAGAAAGAATGACCTAGACAAAAAAAAAAATTCATGTATTTGAATTTATATTTATTACTCGATCTCAAAAGCGTACAAGTTTGTGTGAGAATCAGCTCACTGAATGTATCAATGTCCTTTCCTCCCTTTTTAATAAAATATATTTATATAAGTGGAGGAGACTAAATAAAGCAATTAGCTACTATGCATTCGTAGGCCTAGCGCCAATCAACGCCCATACTTATAGAAACAACTCTTTGACGCATCGCTTATTAATTTGGTAATTAATGAGCGTCAATCTAGCCATCAATCAAGTCATCCAATCTAGACAATGTAGCGGAATCTTCGTTGCGCAATTAACTCTCGAAGATGGTAGGCAGGGGCGGATGCATGCTTGGTACAATGGGGGCACTTACACCGAGTGACTTTCAAAATTTCTCTAATGATACTTCAATTTTTTAAAAATATTTAAATTTTCCCCTTAAAAGATATACCATGCCCCCATTAATTTCCCAACCCCGATTTGTGCAAAATAAAAAGGGTAAAAGCATTTTAAATCTTTAATTAAATATAAATTTTTGTAATTTATCTAAATAGGACTAAAACATAATGACTTTCTCTATATAGAACTATATGTTTTTATTTTCCAATGTAGGACCATTGGTCATTATCTATTAGTCATTATTCAACTAAATGTCCAGCATCATTTGGACATTATTCTTCTCATTAGGCATTATTAAGTCTCATTTAGTGAATAAAAAACTTTAAGTCCTACATTGAGAAATGACTTATGTTTTAGTCCTATTCACTGCAAATTTCACATTTTTTTCTTTTTTTAGCTTACTTTTTATATTAAGGGTAAAACTCAATAACATCCACCCACCAATTTAATTCAACCCTAAGTTAAAGTAGGGATATTCTTGAAAATTTGACACTTTTTTTATATTGCTAAATTAAACAAGCATGCCAATTAAGCGAGAAAAATATTTTAGGACAAAAGGAATAAAAATTTCAAAATTATTTATTTTCTTAATTATAAACTATGTGTAGTATTTCACAATATTGACTTGAAATTTTACATTATTTATGATGTTTCATATAGTATTTAAAAAAATCTATGGCGCTGCCCCCGTATCCCAGCCCTATTATTCATGCTCCCAGTTAGGGATGACAACGGGTCGGGTTCGGGACAGATTGTATTATCTAAGGCGCTGCCCCGTATCCCGACCCGACTTTTAAATCCAAACCCAAAACCTGACTTTTAAATAAAAACCAAACCCGACCCAAATCCGACATTTAAACCCGAAACCCGAACCCAAAACCGAATCCGTGATTTAACCAATAACCAATTCGACGTACCCCAAGAATATTAAAAAGAATAAATCTAAATTCGTGTGTGTCCCTTTTTTGTATCTCATTTTTTTATTGAGGAATTATAAAAGGCATACTTGGTATAGTAGCACCTTGTCAAGATGATTGCGTGGCTAAAAATGCGAACAAGACAGGAGACAAATCAGAGATGCAAAGAAGAAAAAACCATACAAGAATGGAGAACACACAAAGATGCAATGTAAAGACCAAGAGAGCGATGCAGTTGCACCAGAGAATTAAAGGAAAAAAAAGTTATACAAAGTGCTCATTATATCTGTAGATATCGTTTTAGATTATAAATATTTGGATTTGGGTCGGGTCGGGTAAAATTATTAACCCACACCTGACCCGACCCAATATCAGGTTCAGGTTAAAAAAATTGGGTCGGGTTTGGATTATTTTATTTTCAGTTTGGGTTCGGATATTTTAGTGTTCGGTCGAGTCGGTTAAGATCGAGTTCGGGTTGAATTGTCATCCCTACCCTAGTCCTCATTTTTTTGGATCGCCCCTGATGGAGGGGTGGAGTTACTATAAAATCGCGTCATACCTACCAGTCCGCCTATCAAGGTCCAGTCGGGCTTATCCAACGCATTTCGAGAAATTCAACATCAAAATACACTTACACCGAGTGACTTTCAAAATTTCTCTAATGATACTTTAAAATTTCTGAGTTCAGGTTTTTATAAGCATAGAAAGTATTATTTGATTTATGAAATAAATTCACTCTTTGCATAGTAGAAAAATACTCCATCTATCCCTTAAAACTTTTCTCATTTTGACTATTACTCCCTCGCCCCAATTTAAATTGTCTGTTTCAGTTTACGATGTTTGACTGAAGTTATTTTTCAAATCATTTTATATAAAAAATAGTGTAGAATTGAAAATTAAAAATTACATAATTAAAAACTATATCAAAAGATATACAAAACTAGTGGTGATAAAACTATATTATTTTATCAAATGACTAACGAAAATAGAAAAAAAAAGTGAATTAATTTTGATCCTGAAAATAGCAAATATGTAATTTAATTTGGAACGAAAGGAGTAATAAATACATTGATTTGATTAATAAAATAGAATGAAAGGGGTAAATTATTAGTGAATAGAAAGAATTAATAGAGGTAAAATTATCTTTTTAGTGAAAAAATAGAAAAGTTTTTAGGTAAGGATGAAAAGAGGAGAAAATACTTTGTGTCGGAGGGAGTATTTGATTTTAATTAATTTGATTGCTTGATTCTCATTGACATTAGGAAGTCGGAACCAATGTCAATGAACCCGGAATTCCTACCAATNCCCCCCCCCCCCCCACCCCCACCCACCCCACGGGGAATGTGTGGAAAAAAAAAGAAGTTACACAATATTGTGAATACAAATTGGAAGCAGGAGAATAAAAGCATTCATCAAATCAAATATGGGAGGATCACATTCATACAAGGAAGGAAGGTGTGTCGAACAGCTAAAAGAACACACTATGGGTTCTACTCGATTAACAATAATTTTGAAGAGGCTAAAAAAAGAAGATTACCAAGTCACGATCCTCGCTCGCTCGCTCGCAAACCCACAATTCTAAATGGTAGCTAGCAATAATCCCTCGTTTATAAACGTCGGTGGCCAATAAATAATGATGAGATTTCTCTAAGTATTATGGATATGATACACCCCATTTATATATATAACATGTAAGTGTGGGAAGTTTTGTCATCTCTTTTTGTAGTTTTGTGCGCTTCTGCTGCTGGCTTCTTCGCTCATTCCCCCAGGTTTAGAGACCCGTCCTTCATCAGCTTCACACTCAGACTGTTGAATCTCCCTCTCGAGTAATGCCGAGAAGCCTTTCTCCAATCTGTTCCCGTCTTCATCATTGCCGCAAATTCTTCATAGCTGATAAGACCATCCTACCCACCCACCCACCCACCCCCACACAAAAGCAAAGCAAAGTGAAACAACTATTCGAGAATCTGGTTTTCATAAGCTAATCACAATCAGCTAATTGCGAAACAACTAAATATGAAAACAAATGAAATGAGCCCTGAACCAAATGACACTACTCACCTTGTCCGTGTCGACTTCCTGAAAGATATCATTCGCGACGTTTGTACAGTCTTCTGATCCATCCTCCATAAGAGCATCTTGAAGCTCATCCGGCTCAATGTAACCGTTCCCATTCTTATCAAAGTAAGAGAAGGCCTTGCGCAAATGTTCATCATTAGCCATTCTTTGTAAATGGAGTGAGACCGCTATGAATTCTCCATAATCTAAGGTCCCTTTTCCATTTGAATCGATCTGTATGGCAAATAAGTCACATAACATCACCATCCATCAATAGATCAATTGGTTTCTTATCATATTCTTCATTTTTCATCTACGGAGCATTAATTTACTGCTTCGATTTCATTTACTGTGGTGTTGTAGTTGTGGCAAGCAGTATATACATGTCGCAGTTTTGCAATAAAAATAAAATAAGAAAACCAAAATGAAAACAATGCAGTATATATATTACTCCCTCTGTCCCGGAATTATCTTCCGGGTTTGACTTGGCACGATTTTTTATAAAGTGGAATGCTGGTGGTTGAGGTTTGTGTAGAGGAAAGAGAATATATATGGATCATATTTTTGTTTCCTTAAAAGGAAAGAGCATAAAAATTTTGGGACAACCCAAATAGAAAAGAAGGAAGATAATTATGGGACGGAGAGAGTATTAGTTTAGCTCGAGGAATAAGTGTGGGAATTGAAACATGAAAGCAGTAGCACTCACAGCTTCAATAAGCATCTGTATTTCAGATTCTGCCAGCTGAGAATTGAGCTTCTGAAGTCCAACTTTCAATTCTTCAATTGAAACAATACCATCATTATCAGTATCTATCTTTCCAAACATTTCTTTTAGGTCTTCAACTTCTTCGTTGGATAAGAAATCAGCAATAACCTACATGCACAAAAGGGTACTGTAAACATCTCTAGAAACAAGCTAATGTGATACAAACGATAATAACTCAAGTATACTTGATATAACACTTTTAAAAACTGACCCTCAAAGCCTTCCTTTTGAACCTATTCATCAAGGAAAACTGCTTCAACCTAGACTTCACAACATCTCCCAGAGGAACATTTGGAGCCTTCTTAGCATTCTGGAGCCAAGAATGTTCTGCGCAGGAATAAAACTAAAACTTTCATTACCATGTAGAACTCAGAAACTCAAATTCTGCATAGTCATAAAAAACTTAAAGTAAGGTATCCCAGTTAGTTCAAAAAATTATTGCAACAAGACATTGACCAAGCACCCCTTATTTCCTGATAAAACAGTAACATTGGAGGAAAATGAATTTGATATTTCCACTATGAAAAAAAACCACTATTTTTCCCGTTTTTCTTATGCTTCCATTATCATTCTCGCATATCTTCTACTCTGGGTTCACATGTGTTATCAATATCAAGCCATCAAGCCAATTAGTAAAAACATCTCACAAGGCAGCTATAAATAAAAAATTCAATCACACATTCCCTCCTCTCCTTCAATGAACAAGTAAATGAAATACAGATACCCCATCACACATCCATTCAAGTGACCCAAGGAAAGTAACACAAGAAATTATGGCAGCATTCGAGACAGTATCAACAAATGAGTAGCACAGACAGACTTCTAGAAATTGAAGAGAGAATAAAAAGCTTCACCATAAAGGAACTGATAAGAACATTTCAAAGTAGCATACCAAGTACTTGTTTTGCAGTCAGTCGAAGCTTAGGGTCTGGCTCCAACATTTGCTTCACGAGACTCTTGGCACTCTCTGAGATACTTGGCCAGGGTTCACGTTTGAAATCTATCGCCCCACGTAAAATAGCCTGCGCAACACCTTGTTCAGATTCTGCATCAAAAGAATTACCTTCAGCTACAAGAGTTCAATCGCATTGAGCTCAAAATTGCCAAGAAAATCACAGAACAAAAACTAGAGAGTTCAAGTCTGATATGAGAAAGAGCTGCAGTACAGGGCTATGCTTGTGCATACATATCATGCAAGGAGAAACTGTAGAAAGGGTCATTGACAGGAACAAACTTACCAGCCCAAAAAGGAGGAACCCCACATAATAGTATATATAGAATCACTCCTGCACTCCATATATCTATTTCAGGTCCATAATTTCGCTTCAGCACTTCAGGGGCCATATAATAAGGGCTGCCAACAATTTCAGAAAATCTTTCACCTGAAAGTTGAAAGACAAAGAATCAGAAATGTTCCATTTAGAATTTAATAAACTTGCACTATTCGTCTTCATAGATTCATATGCTTCAAGTAATCAGAGTTTGATAGATTTTTCCTAGTTCATAGCATAGAACAAATATAAGTAACAGCACCATGCAGGGGTTTGACAGCTGTTCGGACTCAAATGCATATTTTTTGCTAGCATGCAAAGGGACAGACAAATGGATTTTAAACAACAAAATCAGAAAAACTGCCTGGGACCAGAGCATTATAGTCTTACACCTCAGTTTAATATTAGTGCTTTTGTTCACAATTTCTTTTTTGAGTTGCTCCAAATTAGTGTTCTTGTTTCTTCTTTAGAAAATGTTCCGCCTATTAATACCCCACCCACCACCAGTCCACCACTACTCATACATTGTGCCAAATGAACTGTGAACTCAAATATCAAAGTGAGGGTGAAATTCTTGAAACAAGCACCAATTAAACTTAAAAGAAGATCATTTACTCCCTCTGTCTATAAATAAACTCCACATTTTCTTTTGCTTGTTATTTAAAACTGGAAATTTTGAGATGAAGGGAAGAAAAATTGTCAACCTCACATTCTTTGAAAGCATATGTGGAGTTCATTAAAGACACCCAAATCGTGACAGCGCTTTTTGAGAATGTTGGGCCAACATAATTTTACTCTGCAGCAAGAGCTCTTCCTATACATAGGAATTGTTAAATCTTATAAAATTATTCTCGACCAGTTCTATGTAAACTTCTTTATCTTCATCCACTATCTTGTCTAGCAACTATTTCATGAGCCAATCCAATGAATTGTTACTGAAGAGTTCAATCAGATCTTGAATTCACTTAGGCTAGTTCAAACCCATAGCTTCAAAGCTCACGTCTACTCTTGGAGAATACCTTTGGCACATGCTTTGTCAAAGAAATGTATTGGGCGGAAATAAACTTTCAACTTCGGCATAGGTTGCCATTAGTTTCTCATTCTCAAAGCCCAAAATCTCATAATGCCATTGTCATGTTACAAAATACACAGAGTACTGTAATATTTTGGAGTTTCTAAAATTATGAAATGTTAAAAGCTATCCCTTCAAACACAATCAATATTAGCATCTCCCTTTTGATCTTAAAAGAAACCAGTTAAAAGGGTAAAAGAAATTCTGGAAAAGAAAACAAAATGTAGCATCCCAATTTGTTTATCCGAAGATTCAAACAAAATTTGCAGTAATTAAAATTCCAGCAGATGAACAGCCACACAAGCAAGATGTAGGGCGTGGTGGTGCAAAAGAAAACACAAAATAAGTGAGTGCTGTTTTAATACCTGGCTTAAAGAAGATGGACAGACCAAAATCAATAGCCTTCAGAGGTGAATTTTCCTTCTTATTGGCAAACAAAAAGTTTTCAGGCTTCAAATCCCTGTGGATGACTCCATGTTTGTGGCAGAGTTGTACAACCTCCATAATCGTCCGAGTAACAGCAGCAGCAGCACGTTCTGTGTAGTGGCCACGTGCCACAATCCTATCGAAAAGCTCACCTCCTTCACAAAGCTCCATCACCAAATGGACTGCATTATCATCCTCGCAAGCCTCCCTCAAGCTTACAATGCTTGAATTTTTCGGCAAGTGCTTCATTATAGCCACCTCTCGCCTCACATCATCCACATCGACAGCTGTCCGAAGCTTCCGTTTGGAAATGGATTTGCAAGCCAAAAGCTCCCTGGAGCCACGATCAATGCACAGGTAAGTCACGCCAAACTCACCCCTCCCCAGCTCCCTATCAACCAGATACCTCTCCTCAATGTTCTCCTTCTTCACGTCAGCCAGAACAGTGATCGGCTTATGCTTGCCTCCAGTGCCGGACTTGTCCCTCTTGCCGTGATCGTGGCCGCCGGAGAAGTTAGCCGACTTCACATCTTCTCTAGCCACGGCAGCTGGAGATCTACAGCAGTTCCCCATTGAAGTCGAGCAAGGATTCGGAACCTATTTCCCGGCAAAACCCTACCTCTAACCCTAGCTAGGGTTTCACATTATCAAGCTTAAAGCCCTACCATACCAATATCAGGCCGTATAGATCAATGGATTACAGATCAAGAGAGTACGCACTTTACCTTGCTCTGGTTTTGTCGCCGGAGTGGGAGGAGGAGGAGGAGGAGGGTGGTGGTCGGCACCCTTTCCTGCAAACAAAATGGCGTCTACTGTGACGTTCAAAGGCTCATTCCATGAGTAGAAATTCTCCTGATTCTTCGTAATTTCTTAATTCATAAAAATTGATTACGCAACATTATTATTATTATTATTATAAATTTTTTTTATTACTTTTGACTCAATTATAATATAGTTTTTATTTATATTTATTATTATTATGATGAAATTAATGTTTATTATCTTTTGATCAAAATTGATGTTAGGAGCATTTTTATTAATAGTACAAGAACAATTTTATTAAACTTATCTTGTAATAAGTTTTTCACAAATTCATTTCATTGCATTTGTATGTAACACAAACCATAATTGAAGATTATGATTCTTATCGTTTGACTGGAAAAAATCAAATACTATGAGACAACGAATAATGAAATTTTATTAAGTACTCCGTATTTGAATGTAATTTTAAAGAATTAAATCTCGACACAAGAAATATTATTGTTATTATACTCCCTCCATTCCATATTAATTGTCTAATAACACTTTCTTGATACATTGAAAAATGGATGAATGTAGACATAAAGTATGTCTACATTCATCCATTCTTCAATGTATCAAGAAAGTTTATTAGACAGTTAATATGGAATGGAGGGAGTATGAATTAATTTACAGTATACTATCTATATGGTCAAATTTTATTCATTTATTTTTTCTACTCCGTATTTCGTTACTCTTTAATTAAATAAAACTCTGTATAAATGGTATAATCATGACACCTTTTGGTTCGTAAAATTTTTGACGTACTTTATAAATATAAAAATTTTATTTTTTTTAATTTTATCTCTTTTTTAGATAATTATATTCAAAATCAAGACAGCATTGTAAATCAAAATAGATTATTTATGGGAGAGGGGAGTGAAGAGTACTAAATAATTATAGAGTATATAGAGATTAGAGGGAGTGCAAAATTAAACAAGGGGTTTGATTTTGTTGGTGGGTAGTGAGATTTGTCGGCTGCTTTAACGGACGGGACATGGGAAAAGCAAAGAGGCGCGGCGGGTTTATATGTGTTGGACGTACCATACATTCTCCCTGCCCCTACACCCCTTTTCTTCATTTTTCATTACGCCCCTTTTTCTTTTACATTTATTAAGTTTTAAAAATATTTTATGTCTAGATAAAAAATCACCCACTAAAGTCACGAAAATTGAGTATTCTAATTGCATTGTTCAGAGCATAGTTTTAAAAATCAGAGACCGAACCCGCCAATACACTCGACAGTGGTTTGAACGGTTGAGCCAGTGTTTCAAATCTGTTTATATTTATGAAAAAAATATACGCTCATTTATAAATATCCGGAGTAAATAATTTATGACAATTGACCAAAATTAGAATCAGTTTAATTTGCTTGAGTTATGTCACCAAATTAAAAAATAAAATTTACATATCTAGAAACAATATTTAAAAAATTATAAAACAAGATGTGATTATATTTTTCAAATAAATTACCCAATATTAAAAAACACTCAAATGAAACATTTGTGTGATATGCATTTTGTAATATTATTAATTAAATCAGTAGTTTGAGTTAGAATCATAATTATAACTTTATACTTTTTAAAGTTTTTAAAAAAATATAATAAACTTCTTTTAAATCTTTATTTTTTAACTATTGAATATTTATAAAATTAAGCTCATATGTAACAAAAAGCACTATACCTTAGATGACCAACAAATGATTAAGTGTTTGAACCCCCATAGAGTATAATTTTGAAAACAAATTCGCACAAAAAACCTGGTCCAACCGACTGGTTCACACCGGTTCAGGCCGACTTATGTAGAATGCGGTTGAAAGGCATGGATCGATCGGTTAGACCATCAGTTTGCTTGTTCACGGTCTGAACCAACTAGTTCTGTCCATTTTTTAAAGTTGTGGTTCAAAGTACAAATTTATCTACATTACCAACTTTATAATAAATTCAGTAATAGTCTTTTATAATTGCGGATTTTTCTTATTTAGTCCATATTTATCAAATATTATGTTGACAGTTCTTATTAATTGAGTATCATTCCATGTTTAGTCTTCCACCTATTTTTACGTCTCGGTGTCATTAGACAAAGATTAAACATATAATTGGACCGTGAACATAATATTTAAAAAATGTGGACTAAATATGAAAAACCTTTGTTATAACGGACTATTTAGGAAATTTATTCCATACTTTATATTTTATTTATAATGGTGGTCCTGAAGACACCAAAGAATTATAACACGAGATGATAACGGGTCACGTTTGGTCGGGCTTTACTAGATCAAGTTCGGGTTTGATTTTGGTGATTGGATAGCAGATATTGGAGATGGAAAGATTGGTGGTCGAAATGATGGTTGTGCAGAAATTGAAACTCTATCTGATTTATTGGTTGAGCCAGGGAATAATCCTATAGAAAAAATGGTAGAAACTATTTACCCTAAATTTGTAATAAATTTCGGTGAAGATAGTTTACTACAAGAAAGAGCAACTTTAGCTCCAACCGTTGAAGTAGTTGAATCAATAAATCAATACATGATTACAATGAATGAAGGCGATGAGAAGGTCTACTTGAATGCTGATAGTGCTTGCCAGTCTGATATGAATGCTTCCTTAGTTGGGGATTTACACACCACAGAGTATCTAAACTCAATCAGATCTTTGAGAATTCCGAACCATGAACTAACACTGAAAGTTGGTACTCCTATAATGTTTTTGCGCAACATTGATCATGCTAATGGTTTGTGCAATGGAACGCGTTTAATTGTTACAAGACTTGGTAATAACCGTCTATTGGAAGCAAAGATGATTCATGAAAAAATGCACGACAAACGGTTTTAATACCACGAGTTTCATTGATTCCATCAGATACCAGATTGACATTTAAGTTTCAAAGAAGACAATTTCCGGTTATGGTATCATATGCAATGACCATAAACAAAAGTCAGGGACAATCTCTCTCTCATGTTGGTTTATTCTTGAAAAAACCTGTTTTTAGTCACGGACAACTGTATGTCGCCATGTCTAGGGTACGGTCTCGCGAGGGATTAAAAATAATGATATGTAATTCTGATAATACTCCATGTAATACTATACTTAATGTAGTTTATAAAGAAGTTTTTGAGAATGTATGATTGATGTTAAACATACGTTGTTTACTTTACGGGATTTGAATAGTACGTATTGAATATAGTCTACTTTATGATAGTAGTTTTATTTAGAATTAAATAAATAATAAGATACATATCTAATATTTACTGAATATTACGGAGTATTCAGTACCAACTATTCTCATATCTTTTTGAATTTGTGATAAACTTTATCTCACCGTGTATCGCACGGGTGATGTACTAGTAATGACCAAAACCCAACCTGACAAGTTTGGGTTCAGTTTGAATATTGAAGAAATCATCCTAAATACGAGTAAAACGTAGAGAAAGTATCAAAATAGAAGTTCCATGTTTTTATTCCTTAAATAGGAGTTCGCACTGTTGTAATGTGGTACTGTAAATGTGCATATTACTACTCCCTTCGTTCCTTTAAACCCTTCCACTTTTGACTTTGGGCAAAAATAAGGAAAGTGTAATTTTGGTTGACTTTCCAATTTTGCCCCTGATGTGATGGATAAAAGTAAGATATGATAGTTTTGTTATTAGTGAAAAAGTATGATGTGATAGGTAGGGTATGAAAAAGTAAGGGTAAAAGTGGTTTTTTAATAGAAAGTGGAAGTGTTTTAGGGAATTAAAAAAACGAAAGGAGAAGAGTTTTGTGGAACGGAGGGAGCATATGTTTTGGTAATGTACATGATCATGATTGGTAATGTAAATGCATTTTAAGTCTGACAATAAAAACATTGGAACTCTTATTTTGGTATATTCTCAATGTTTTACTTCTATTTTAGTCTTTTTCCCTTAAATATTTTCCAATCGAGTTCGGATATTGAATAACACAAGTTCAAACAAACATCTAATATTAATAAAAGTTTCAATCCTAACGCCAACAAGAAATTTTTGATATTATACTCCGATGGTACCACACAAATTTTCATTTTAAAAATTAAAAAAAGTTTCATTACCATCTGGGCACCCCAATTTAACATTACAAGAACATAAGTTCAAACAAACATCTAATATTCAAAAAAGTTCAAGAGATGGTTCTAACAACAATAACCACAAACAACTCAACCAAACGGATCAAAATGTGAGAGCCCAAACAAATTGATTATAGACAATTGACTGCCTATCTGTATACACACTGGGTATGTTTGGCTAAACAAATTGGATGGCTATGATGATTCGTGACATGTAATTAATCTGTCCCTCTTTTTTTTGCCTTATTTGATTATGACAATGCATGAATGAGGATTAGATGGGTTCCTTTCAATGTTCAATGTTTTTATTGTTTTTTTTATCCATCGCTTAACATTTTTAAACCATGGAGTATATATTAGCCAGTTCAGGGCAATCATTTGCCCCTTTTTTTTATTTTTTAAACAATATATTAGACTCTTTAGTTTATCCAAAAACTTCGATTGACATTTTTATGTTTTTATTTTTCAAATAGTTAAATTGACAAGTTTAAATACAGTAAAGATGACTTGGTACTGCATGAATATGGCAAATAGGGAGTATGAAATGTTACCTCCCGTCCAAAAATCTTGTCTCAATTACTATTTTTATTTTTCGATAATTTTTTTTATTTGCGTGTTTTCATTTATTACAATCTCCGTCTTAAAAAGAGTCGCTTGTTGTTAAAAAGAGTCGCTTGTTGTTGTTTACAAGCTTTGCCTGAGGCTTTTTTTAATTCAATTTATTTGAAAATTGGTAAGGAATTAAAAAAAATAATCCGTAGATATTTAAAAACTATACCAAAAAAGTTTTATAAAACAAGATGTAACAAGACTATATTATTTTTTCAAATGGGTAACGAAAATGGGTCAAGAACTCAAGATTGTGAATCTCATTAACAATAAAAAAAACTAATATATCTTGAATGCCAATCTAATACTCAGCAGTTTATCTTGAATTGTTGTGTTTGTGTTTGTCGATCAATTACTTGGCTATGAAATCTACAATGACTAATTTATAGTGTCTTCATTCCATGCACTTTACTACTATAATTATCAACTATTATTATTTTTTCTGTCCCAATTAGTTGTCTCCATTTTGACGAAGTCATGAAAATTCAAGTGAAAAGTTGTATGATTGAACTTTATGCATAGGAGAGAAGCATCAAATATCGTGACGGAGGCGTACCAATAAGACATTCCACAGTTTTTAATAAAATGTAAGTTGTGTCGTAGGAAATAATATTAACCACAATAATGTTTCTAAAAGGAAAGAGGGAGATATAGCTTGAGAGGGGCAAAAGAAAGAAAAAATGAAGATGAAAAAGTCGTTAGAAAACAACCAAATTTACAGTATATCACGCACCCAGGGATAAACACGTACAAATGTACAAGGCACAACATAAACCAAGCTTACAAATGATTCACTCACCATGGATTTAGCAATATTTTCAATCCTTATTTCTTGTCATTTTGGTTCATGATAAACAAAAATGCACGTATCTTACAGAAGCCCGCATAACCGAGGCCTCGAACAGAACAGCCTGCCATTTGTTTTCACCACTGCCATCACTCCAGCAGTGACACCAGCACAGAGTATAGAGGGCAATACGTTTTGCATACTTCTCCCTGTTGAAAGAAAATCACAGCAATAAATTTACCATGACTCTTAATTAGACAGTAAATTATTTTTGCTTTTTTTTCCTTCCAAGAAAAATACATGCATATGGTTCAGTGACCCAATCAATGCTCAAACCGCGACTAAATTAGGTGAGTGTGGGCACCTTGGTTCAATGTAACGGTCGTCACTGTCAATCCTCCAATTAAAAGAGCAGATGCAACCGGAAGATACTGCAAATTTTCGGGTTCTTATTAATTCTACTACACAGTTTGGAAGAAAAATGATAATGATGATGATGTATGGCAGGGGAAAATAAACAGCACATTACTTTTACAGTGCTATGTGTTCATGGAAAAGCCTATATTACCAATTGATAGCTGATGTCTTAATGCAAGAAGCTAACTGAGAGCCTGTTTGACCTAACTTATGGTATAAGTCATTTTATGATTTTACTCAAGAGCTTAAAGTGCTTGTTGAAAAAGTACCAATCTGCTGGTTTCTTAGATCAGCATTACATGTTTTCTCTAAAAACACTTATTCCTGGAAATTCAGTCACCCCAATGGCACTCAAAGGTCATTTCTAAGAGGGAAAGTCATTGCGTACCGTAATGGAATCAAATCCGTTATGGACGGTAGGAGAGGAACATCCCCTTTTTATAGTATAACGACCACTAATAAGATCCACAGCATCCTGGCAGGGCACAAAAGTAAAGGTAAACTCTGACAATAGCTTGTAAATGTTTTTTTTTTTTGTGTTTGCGAATTTACCTGCCGAACTCCATCCTGGAAATTATTTAAGAAGTATCTTGAGAGGGCGCTCATCCCATCTCTAATTAGTCCTAACATAGTCTGTTTCCCATATCTGCAAGTTTAAATGGATCAAAGTAAATCCAATAATTATTATCGAGTAAGTTTGTCCAGAACTTGGTCTCTGTTTGGTAGTCAAAAGTGGCATATTCTGCTTCTGAATATAATAAGCAGGACAATCAGAATAAGTAGTTTTTTACTTCATTATTTGGATGAAATGGATATTACAGGACACCGTTCCTTTCAAAAAATGCATCACATTAAGTCATTTTAGCCAAATAATCTTACCAAACAAGCTCTTTTAGACTACCTGACAAGATCTCCCTTTAAGGCAAATGTTCCAGAATATTCCAGACTGATTTCATCACCTTGTTGCACCCACACTGATAAGTGATAAAACAAGCTAGACTGAGCACAGAAACATTACAAGATATCTTCAGTGCAAAAGAATATCTACCAATTAGTGTTCGTACATGTTTTAAATGTTTCAAAATCTTCGTTAAACATAGAGATACAGTCAGTGGAAGAAATGGCTCCAAGTCTCTGCAGCTGAGAATTCAATGATTTCCTTGCAAGATAGCACTGCATGTGATACCAACCATTATAATAACAAGAACACTCCCCCACCCCACCCCCAAACAATCCAGTTAATGTATCACAAGCAACGTTAAGGTCTACTTGTCGCTTGGAAAATGCTAGTGAAAATAGAGGAAAATTTAGAAGGAAAAAATTGTGAGGAAAAATTAACACTTTTCAAAGTCAATAAATTTATTTTTTATGCTGGTTTAAACATTTTATTTATCTATTCTATTGTACGCAGACAACTAAACGTAAACATATCTTAGAAATTACAAAGTACATTACCACTACGTTTGGTTGAAGGATTTTGGAAGGAAAAGAAAAGAAAATGATTTTCTCTCATTTTCCTCACCAAAATGGGAAGAATTTGGTTTTCCTTCCACTTAGTACATTTGTCTTCTCATTTTCTTTTTCTTAGCACTTTTCCTCTCGAACCAAACTTGAAAAACTGTTTCCCACTTCATTTTCTTTTCTTTTGCCTTTTAAATTCCTTGAACCAAACATAGTGTACATTATTATATCTCATTTCCCTTGGAATTTCTGTGGTAAAGCCCATACACAAGAAAATAATTTCCCATTACAGTTATTTCATCTCCCTAGCATTTTTCAGGCACCCAAACATACCCTAAAATAATATGGTAGAGGATTGTCTGTATCAAATAAAAGCATATTGAAAAGCTTCTTCAAACCTGTGTTACATTTGTACGATCAAGGCAGTCAATGCAGTTAGATCTAATTATTCCTTTCTGTTCTGCTAGTATCTTTCCTTCTTCATCGACCAAGAAATATCTGCTCAGCTGGAATAGTAAATATTAAAAACTATATTATGGATGAGGCATGTACTCTCAGAGGACATGTTCAACTGTATTTTGCATTCATTGATTTCATTCATTACCCTTGCTTTTCAAAATCCTCTGAGAGTTGGTCATACAAAAGCTGTAGATTCTCAAAGTTTGAGCTCCCACATATGTGATGAAAATCAAATGACACATATCTGAATCAACATAAAAAGGACATATTAAACTTGGAGAGAAAAGCTGAAAGCTGTATCAGCATTTACAAAAAAAGAAACAAAGATTGACAAGTTATCAATTAAGAGATAATTTCAACCAATCATGAGTAGCCGTTAAACACTCACTGCATTTCTTTAATATATCCTTAACCCTTACACATTTTACTCTCTCTGTACCAACATAAGGTTCTAGGTTTGACCCAACACACTTATTAAGAACTGAAACTGTGGTTGAGAAGTTGAGATTCATGAAGAGAAGAGAGATGTAATATGAACAACACAATACTTTGCTCTAATGAAAAACAGGAACCTTTTTTGGGACATAAGGGAGTATCTGTTTTTATTCTAATGTGATACCCCGCATTCTGATGTAGTGCAGGCACTGCATAGCCTACCCAAGATTGTTTGCCACAACCCCCGCACCCCAACGTAATATTAAAAGGTATACCATATACATTAATAAGACTAGATGTATAACATTCCAATAATTATTAACTAGGCCAAAACTAGAAAAGATCATACTCCAACGGTATTCCTCATGTGATAATCTAATGCTTGAAAAATAAATCATCCAATAGCATAGGTAGAGAATGGCAAATATTACCTCACATTTGAGAGCTTTTGCATCTCTGCAGCATAAGCTGCACTTAGTTTACCCTCATCACCATGCTGCAAGTCACGATAGACACAAATTTGAGGAACTTATATCTCTTAAATATTACTGTACTTACATTTTTACAGACAAGAGTCCGATGCATTTTGGGGGGGGGGGGTGTGTGTTACTTTCACACCCCAGCCTATTTAACATAAAAAATGTTTTTTTACCTTGTCTGTCAAGTCTACTGCTACAATCTCTCCGTATCTTTGTGACAAATCATGAAAATGGCGCTCAACAACCTTTGACTGAAACAATGAAACATATTTGCTAGTGGCTATTGAACTAGAAAGAAGTAAGGAGCAATGGTTTAGGGGGAATACTGTTTCTTCATGAGGAATAATATTAAGATGGCCAAATATCGAGTCCAGTTGTTAAACGAGGGTGTTCTCCCCCTAACTCGGGGCCTGGACTTTTACAATTTTGTAGTCTTGAGAACTCCAGTAGTTTGTCTTTTACCCTGATATAAGTGTAGATCTCATGTTATTTGTCGGTGTCTAGGACGAAACAAGAGAAAGAGAATTGTCACCTTTCTTCTTAACCCGTGACGGGGACACTGGAAGTATGGAACAGTTCCAAGTTTTCTAATAGGCAAGATACAAACTTTATGTCTCAATGAGAAACTCAAATAGCATAAATTGCATACCTGTAAAAATGAAGACCTCAAACTCCCAAACTCCAGAAACTGCTCAGTTTCAATAAAATTAGCCGTGTCACCCTCTAGGTTAGCTCCTCTTCTCCACATTCTGGTTCCTAAACAGAGTGTGACCATATTTTGGAGAGAAAAAAAGATTAGCTCAAAGGAATATAAATGCAAACAATTTGAATATAGATATCGAGTTGTACCTAAACGTCGGGTACACCTTCTTGATATCAATGACACTGTAGCTGATGAACCTCTGAACTTCAACTGTGCACCCTGAAAGCTTAGGTTTTGTTAAGGAACCAACATGCAACAGAAAGTGAAATTTGGCTGCTAATGATCAAGATCTATGCCCGATCCTCTCAATATCAGCAGATGCTTAGGTCAGGAAGCTAGACAGGTGCATTAAGGATATTTCCTTGTATTAGAGGAATGATAAATCCATCAAGCTGTAAAAAGAGCAATGAGTAAATGAACTGGAGAGAAAGAAAATGTAAATTGGACACGAATATAAAGTGGCATATCATATAAACGTTAAAGGAAGAGATTGTATCCTAGAAAATATGAATAATTTACTCAATAGTTTAAGGACCAAATTATTTTCAAAACCAATTAATACGTTTTTTCTTCACAAGTAACAACATTCTTTCACTTTTTGTGTAAGCCCACAATTAAAGCTAAACTTTATCCATGTTTCCTTCAAGTTGGATTCAGTAGCAAACCTTATTCTCAATTAGCTCCTCCAGCAGATTCCTGTTCCAAACAAACCTTGGATCGGCCTGAAGTTCAATAAAAAATAATTCAAAAAACTGAATACTTGAGCAGAAACCATATCTTCAATATAGCACAACAAAAGCATGCCAAATATAGCTGATATAAAACAATAAGAACACACCTGTTTCCATACTGGTTTTCTCGTCCAACCTTTAGCCAATTTGTATCTTCTCTGCAAGCTGATAAATATTATCAGATTCATAGAAATACGGTGGCATGTATTGAATGGTATCCTATATAATATAACTACCAGACACCGATTAAAGCCAGATGGATTATAGGTTAGCTATAGGCTTACTTCAGTGTTACATCTGTTTCATAAGAAAAATATAGCCCTGGTGTTGATTCCACTACTTTCAACAAATTCGTGAAGTATGCTTCATCTTTTTTCTGTAACTCAATGAAAGGTAACAAATTACTAGCAGACTTAAAAGGTTCCTCAAACATTTTTTTAAAAAAGGATAAGGATTTAGACTTCTTCACTGGTTAGATACTTGGACACCACATTGCAAGACAGGAACTTCATGGATGTCACCCGAAAAACAGGAAAACCAAGATAAGTTCCCACTTCCTTGTGAGAAGTTATAACTAATATATGTGCTCCTGCACCAAGAATGAGATATATGTAAACAAACATCTAAGTAAACAATTATTAGAAAAAGAACACTGTTCCTGCATGATCCTGACTTTACTTGAGTCAACCAACAAATGACATAATTTCATTTGGTTACCCACCATTTTCCCAACCCTAATAAGCCCCCTAGTAAATCCGAGCTGATTTGTTGCCATAGTGAATGTCTTATGTGCTACAGAAAAACGGAACCCCCACCCCCCACCCATTGGCTCTTCTCATAGCCACATAATGTGATAAAAGAACTAAGATCAAACCATTCAACTCATTCTTCAAATGCAAACCACACTGTAGCATAAGAATTCAGCTACAGATCCTCTTGAAATTAATTTAAAAAGATGAGCGAGATCCAGTAAATACCTGCTAGCAGTCTAATGGTTCCAACAACCCCATATATTTTAGAAACCTTTGAAGGCTCTCCAGTACTCGTCTCCCCTGCATAATCGTATCATAAATACGTGTGCTGAATTGTCATAGTTCCAAGTTCATACTTTCCAGCATAAAATAAAAGCTCTGAATTTCTAATCCATTTACCAAAACGATAGAACTTACCGTGTAGCTTCTCGATCGAACCATCGGAGCGGCTGACGGAAAAACCTAGATCCGGAGATTCCCGCGGTCTGATTACGAACTTTTCCGGGAACTCCCGCAATTCCAATTCGCTCCATAGCTTGAAATGGCCCGTGTGATTCCCTTCAGCATCCATATGATTCTCTCTGCTTCTTCTCGAATTGGGATGATTCCTAGCGAATTCACCGCAATAATTATTCAGAGAAATGGTAGATTTTCGTTATAGTGTCATGTCATTTCTGTAAAATTGTATCTCCATAAACGAAAGAGGCCGTTAACGGCGTTACAGTGCTTAACTACCGATGACAAAACGGAAACCTCCTCGTCGTCCTAATTTTTGCATTTTCATCTATTTTCAAGCCCAACAATTATTACTTCTTAATAACTTTTGTTTTGATCATTATAAACATTTTTGCCAATTCTTATTATGTTAAATTTTCAACATAATTTGTAAATATATAATTTATACCATCTTCATCTCAATTTAAATTGTTACTTTAATTTACGATGCTTGACTAAAGTTATTTTCAATACAATTCGTAAACAAGATAGTTTTAAAAGAGATAAAATTTTGCATTTCTTAAAAATGAAACCATAATTTTAAGACGAAGAGAATATGTTCTTGTATAATACGGATCTTATTTTAAAATACATCTAAATATATACTTAATTGATACTTTTGAATTTCCACATAATACTTAATTGATACTTTTGAATGTTTTTAATAGTTCAATGACATTTTTGAAAAAATAAAAGAGAGTGACCTTTTATGACAAAATGAATAGTTGAGTGACATTCTCTCTAATGTACGAATTATCAAACATTGTCTTCTTATTTGTATCATATGTTGTCTCCTTAATAAAATTGTACTCCTATTTTAAAACGAAAAAAGTATTCCATATTTTTTTAGTTTATTTTATTTAAGAATTGGTGTAGAATAAAAAATTAAAGTATGACTTACATATATAAAGAGTACGTCAAAGTTTTACAAAATAATAGTTCACAATAATATTTTATTTTATCAAATAACTAATGAAAAATTACAAATAAACATAGGTTATCGTTAGTTTAAATACTATGACATCTATTGTGAGAGGAAGGGAGTATTTTATGACGTAAAAGTCACATCATATTTTGAAAGATATACTCCCTCTGTCTCAGAAAGATATGATATATTGACTAAAGTAGTAAAATAAGAAAAGAGATATTCTGAGTTGATTTTCCAAAATATTCCTAATGTGATGGGTAAAAGTAAGATGTGATGTGTAGATTATTAGAAAAATGTGATATGTAGTGATGGATACTCGGGAATGAGGGTATCCGGCCCAACAGGAAAGCGGCCCAGCGCGGCCCAGTCCAACTTCGCTAAGGCCCACTTAGCCGGATCAAGGCGAGAATTGTAACGCCCCGAAACCCGGCCTAATATTTTAATTAATTTATAAAAATAAATTAATTATTGGTTGGTTAATACGAAAATTATTTTCTAATTTGTCTTAATTAATGAGGGGTTATCATACGTCGTAGAACTCGCTGTTCTGAACCTGACCGCGCAAATGGATCGCGTATCAGACTTATTGAACCCAAGATACAGCTAACGAATCATGTAACTGGACTCAAACTTATCTCAATTGGACTGGAAAATTGAAAAAATGGACATTAAAACCTGTTTAATTATAAAAGGATGTGCCAGGACTTAGTGGGACATACGTTTTCTTTTCTCAATCCGTTGTCCTTTCCACAGCGCCAGGCCGACGGCCGTCTCTCTCTCGTTCGTCCGTTCCTCCTGCTCTGTTCGCCGACCGGCGGCTCCGTCGAGGCTCGCCAATCGCCGGCGTCCCTCTCTCTCTCTCTCTCTCTGTTGCTGTTCGTCCGGTCGTTGAAGCAGGGACGTCGTCCGCTCGTCTCTATCGATGAGAGCAGCAGCGCTGCCGTGACTCTCCGCCGACTCCAGCGGTTCCAACCGACGTCCCCGTCCCGTCCATCCGTCGCGCAGCAGGCCGACGAAACAAGGGGAAAGTTGCAGCGGCGGGTTTCCTCCGATTCAAGTTGAATTCGTCGGTTTTCGAGGTGATTCGTGGTTTCTATACCTTCCGCTAGCGTTAATTCGTAGATTAGAACTTCCTTAACGTATAATTTTGTAATTGATTGTGAATTTGATTGTTAATTGATGAAATTGGTTGGGTTTAAAGAAAGTGGGGGTTGAACACCGCCGAATTCTGGTGAGACGCTGCCGGCGGACGTTGGCAGTCCGGTCAGGGCTCCGGCAGTGGCTTGGGTTGGCTATGTGGGATCCAATTGGGTCCAATTAGTTCCCATTGGATTCAATTTGGGTCTAATTGGGTTCAACCGGGTCTGTTTGGGTGCAATTGGGTGTAATCGAGTCTGTTGGGACTCAAATTGATGCAATTGGGGCTGTTTGGGTGGCCAGGGAATACCAAACGGGGCTGTTTGGCCTGGCTTTGGATTTGGGCAGCCGGGGCGGCTACCGGCAGGGTGCCGGGGTTGCTCCGGCGACTATGGGGACTGCTCCGGCGGGGGCAGCGGGCCTGAGGATCGATTCTTTGGGCTCGATTTCGCGCAGGTAAGTTGGGTTGAATTGATTGTAATTTGGGTTTGTTTGATTATGCATGACGGTAATCGTGGGTCTTCGGCCCGGATAGGCCGCTACGTGATTTGTTGTGAATTGTGAATTGAGATTTAATTTAAATTGATCTTTTTGGTGAAGATTGTGGATTATGGATAATATATGGGAAATAGGCCACCTAGTATAATTAGGCGGACCTGAATTGGATTGACTTTTTGAATCACCAATAGGATATGGTTAGGAAATTGGCCATTGCGGGGCGTCGTCGCACCCCTGGTGGTCTTGGGTTAAAAACGTACGTACGGAAGTCCGCGACCTGTCCTGGCATCGCAGGGATAGGGGCTTCAACCCGCCCAAAGTGAATCTCCTTTGGATTTCTGAGCTGGCCCTTTTATAGCATCGCTTGGGGTGCCATGACTCAAAGTAGTTGATGTGGAATAAAATAAGGACATGATGTTCAAATGGAAGGTGTTAACATAAATATGTTTATTTAAGCTATTTTTCTCCGTGATCACATGCTGTTGTTGATTGTATGTTAATGTGGTGCTATTCTGTGAGTTAATGCTGGCTTAGGTATATTTTCACTCAGCGTTTTGCTGAGCGTGTAGTCGTTGTTGTTTGACTGCACGCAGGTAGGAACACAGATTTGGATGTGCAACCCGGATGGCAGTGAAGTGGTGGTGTGGCGTGGATGGCTCTTGTTTACCTTAATAATTAAACTACATTATTTTATTTGATTATACGGACTGTTGGATGTTACCTTGGTTTTTGTATGCTTCCGCGATGTTTGGATTTATTTAATTATTCTGATGAATTTGGGTTTACTTAAAACTCTACAGACGAATTTTATAATTGATTTAATTGTTGTTTTAGAAAAGAAAATTTATGCTTGCGAATATCAACTTAGTGACAACCCGGTCCGCTAACCCGTTGCTTACTAAAGTAAGATGTGATGTGTAGATTATTAGAAAAATGTGATATGTAGTGATGGATACCCGGGAATGAGGGTATCCGACCCAACAGGAAAGCGGCCCAGCGCGGCCCAGTCCAACTTCGCTAAGGCCCACTTAGCCGGATCAAGGCGAGAATAAACAAAGGACCAAGGAAGGCCACCCCGGCAGCAGTACGCGCTCGGCCTCTGCCGGGTCAATCATCCTCGGACCACCCCGGCCGGCCTTCCGCCTAGGGACTTTCGAAGACAGGTTGTACGCTCGGCCCCGGCCTTGGGCAACGGCAGACCAGGCCTGGACAAAGGAAGCTGACTAAAGTCAAGATCAAGGGGCCCACGATTAGACTCCTGTCATGTCTCTGACAGAGTTGCTATATCCACTTTACTTGTAACCTATTTTGTATAGCAATCCTAGGGATAATGATATGGTTGGACGTCGCCAGTGAACAACCCAATCTTAGTGGGCCCAGGCCGTTGGACTCTAGACCAACGGTCGGAACCCTATGCTGTAACCTTGCATATAAACCCCTTCCTTCCCAAAGGAAGAGGGACTTACGTTCTGACTTACGTTCTAACTAGCACAATAATACTCTCAATATACTTGACCCCATATTTGTGCACTCTCGACTTAGTTCGATACTCTTCCGCCTAGTCTCCTAGGCCCCCGGGTTCCTTAACCCAACATGTAAGGTATGAAAAAAGAAAGAGGTAAAAATGATTTTTAATAGAAACGAGAAGAACTTTTGGGGACATGGTTCTTTTGAAACGTGAAAGACTTTTTGGGACGAAGGAAGTGTTTCTTGCAATTTTTTGATAAATTATGTGTTTATTTAGTAAAAAAACATCCTTGATTGACATATCATTGGTAATACAATAAATGTAGTATGCGCTAAAAGCTTTCTCTTTGATAAGTTTGATTGTTTGTATTATTTAATTAAAATGAAAGATGTAATAATATTTATAATTATATGAGCATACATATGTGCATTTTTCAATATTGAACAATGTTATATATCAAATTTACTATTATCTATATTCTAAGATATTACATCATTTAAAACTAATTACCAATAACTTAATTTTTTTGTAATCATTTTGATTTGAAGATTTATACTTTCCCGTGCACTAGTATATATGCAAACAAGAATTCAAAATTGAAGACCGAAGCCAATAGGTCACTGAGTAAAATTCTTTGTAAAGACAATACAAATTAATAAAATTTTGGCTCAAAATTATTTTAAATCAAATATAATTTTAAAATGGGATTTGGATTTTAAAATGTTTTTAAACATCAAAAGGACTTTTCCATTTTATTTATTCACTTTTGAATACATCAAAATTATTACTCTCAATAATTCTCTATCTTTGGAGAATTATTTTTTTTGAATCATTTGGAGAATTATTTAATTAAGATACATTCTGATTTTGGAAGAGCTTCATCCATCAAACTTGTAGCACTCTTTCTTATAAAAGTATCGGTTTTGAACATTGTATATATTTTAAAACCTAATTTGAGCATATTGTATATATTTTAACATTGTATATACTTTAACACGAGAATAAAAATACAAAAATCTTATTTTGATATATTTTTTACTCTTTTTGTTCCTAAATGATTTACACATTTTACTATTCAAAAAACGCGAGAACTTTTTTTATTTGCATGTTTTTATTGACTATTTGATGAAATACAATATTCTTGTGAAGAAAGATTAATTTCTGTATTAATCTCGGAGGTCAAGCCTCGAATATATACAAGAGACAAGTCTCCTAATTATGGTAGGATATAAATGCAATCCTTCTATACAAGGGAAACTACCAAATATATAAAATATATTAAATATACAACATATATTTAACATGCTCCCAACTACGTAACCGATGAAGGACGGATGCCGAGACTGTGTCTGAAATCGGAGAAGAGAAGTGATGGGAGTCCTTTGGTGAAGATGTCAGCGTACAGGGAAGATGAGGGAACATTAAGTACGCGGACCTGTCCTAGGGCGACCTTGTCTCTGACAAAGTGAATGTCAACCTCCACATGTTTGGTGCGCTGGTGCCGAACAGGGTTGGATGAGAGATACACTGCGCTGACATTGTCACAGAAGACCAGAGTTGTGCGTCGTAGAGGTTGCTGTAACTCGATAAGCAGATTTCAGATCCAACTTGCTTCGGCAACGGCGTTTGCAACTGCACGATACTCAGCCTCAGCACTCGAGCGGGATGTGGTAGCTTGTCTCTTGGAGGACCATGAAACAAGATTATCGCCAAGGAACACACAATATCCAGAGGTAGAGCGGCGAGTATCTGGGCATCCTGCCCAATCAGCATCAGAATAGGCCTGTAAGCAATCTATGCGGGTGCGATGCAGAGTAATCCCATGAGTAGTGGTGCCGTGAAGGTAGCGTAGAACACGCTTCATGGCAGTGAGATGAGTGCTGTGAGGGGCATGAAGGTGAAGACATAACTGCTGGACTGCATAGGTGAGATCATGGCGGGTGAATGTGAGATATTGCAGAGCACCAACAATGGACCTGTATAAAGTGGGATCAGTAAGAGGTATGCCAGAGGAAGCGCCGAGCTTCGCCTTAGTGTCCACTGGAGTGGAGATGGGTTTGCAGTTCAGCATGGCAGCCCGTTCCAAGATCTCCTGAGCAAACTGTGTCTGATGAAGAAATAGCCCCTCCGGAGTGCGCTGAACATTAATCCCGAGGAAAAAGTTAAGGTTACCCATATCTGTCATAGCAAATTCCCCCTTGAGTTGTTGAGTGAGGCGCTGAAGTAAGGAGGAAGAGGAGGCGGTGAGAACAATGTCATCCACATAAAGTAACAAATATGCCCTGTCATCCCCACGGGTGTAGACAAAAAGAGATGTGTTACTCTTGCAGCCAAGAAAGCCTAAGGTAAGGAGAAATCCTGCAAAGCAGTGATACCAAGAGCGGGGAGCTTGCTTGAGACCGTACAACGCCTTTTTCAGTCGACACACATAATGGGGCCGTGTTGGATCCTGGAACCCGGATGGTTGAGTGGCATATACTGTCTCCTTAAGAGTGCCGTGAAGAAAGGCGTTCTTTACATCCAGCTGATGAATAGGCCATCCACGTGACAAGGCTAGGCTAAGAACAATGCGCACCGTGGCAGGTTTCACCACCGGACTGAAAGTCTCCTCATAGTCGATTCCGAAGCGCTGATTGAATCCACGGACCACCCACCTAGCTTTGTACCTGGACAGTTCACCTGTAGGGCCAAGTTTGTGGCGAAAGAGCCATTTACCGGTGATAACATTTTGGGAGGGGGAGGGAGGTACAAGTTCCCATGTATCGTTGTTAATCAAAGCATTAAATTCATCACACATAGCATTATACCAGTTCTGGTCCTTAAGGGCACTACGGTAGGTAGGGGTAGAGGGGAGATTTGGGCGGTAGTGCTTAGGTCAAGGATGTGTTTGGGACGGGTGATACCCGCCTTGGACCGGGTGACCATGGGATGGGTAGGGGCTTGGCCGTGAGGGTTGGGGGGTGGGCCGTGGGTTGTGGGTTGGG